GGTCCCGTGTAGCCGCGGGGCACCTAGAGAACATTGGGCAGGGACCCCAGGCATGTCTGCCTCCCTGCATTCCACTCCCCTCCTCCAGCCAACCCGCCATGGCAGGCTAGCTGGAGAAGGGGAGAGGAGGTGGGCAGACTTGCCCCCCCTTTCCCCTGAGCCTCTCTGCTTTTGTGGAGAAACTCAGGGAAGGGGGGGGGATTTAAATGCCTTTCTTTCCCTTCCCCGTCTGAGAAAGGCATTCTGTCAGGCAGGGAACCCTGGCATGCTTGCATGCCTGCCCTGTGTTGGGGTGTGGCATAGAGATGTGAAGGCCCAGAAAAAAACCTGAAAAATTTGGGAAAAAACCTTTTCCCCCCGTTTTTTTCCCTGAAGCCTTTTTGTTTTTTTCCGAAAAATTGGAAAAATTGAAAAAAGAAAAGAAAAAAAATGATTATGGAATGTTTCATTTTAACATGATAAATAAAATATTTTAAGAGAAGGTGTTCAAATATTTTCCAAATCATTTCTAAAATATATATATATATGGTATCAGATTGATCTAATTTCTGTGCACTGAGGACAAGCAAGTCCTAGGTTACAAACTGAACTCTCCAATGCAAGAACAAGATGCATTTCTTCCTTTAGGAGGTGCGATTGTCAGAAGAAAATAAAAAGGTTTCAGTTTTGTTTTTGCATGTGGGTGGGTATTCTGTTTGTAATAATTGTTTGGGTACACTATATTTTTAATATGCTAGTTGTGATAATTTCATGCCAAGTAAAAATGTCCATAGTCATATTTTATGTTCCTAAAGTAACAGAATGACTTTCAATCTAGAAAAGACAAAAGAAATGCTAATGTAGCATTTTTTCCGATTTTTTCAAAAATTCCCGTTTCTTTCCGAGCTTCAAAATTTCGGGAAATTTTACATCTCTAGTGTGGCATATGCAAATGAGCTCCTGCACCTCTTTTTCTACGAAGTGACCCCTGGTAACTCAGAAGGGTTCTGAATTCTCTCATAGGTATATCATGTTAAAGTAGTGTGGTACTGAGTCCTACGGGGGGCGGGGGAGAGGTCAAAGAGGAAAGAAGTCGGTGGGCTCCAGTTGCCATGGAAGCGAGAGGACACAAAGGCAGAGAAGAACCCTGGGAGGAGGGGTTGAGAGACCTGAGAGACCTTTGAGAACGTTCACTTGAAGGGAAGGGCTCTGTCTGACTGGAGGTGAAGGGAGCCCCACAAGTGCCCAGCAGCAGGTCTCCAGGTGGTGGGAGGCAGAGGAGGGGAATGAAACATTTATTATTTGGGCGACTTACGTGTTTCCACCGTGGAATGGTGTTCAACATAAAAGTCATTTGTTCTAGACAGTGAAATAATATTTCTGTGCTGCACTGATTATGCCAGGAAAGGGCACAGATAGCTCCAGCCTGGGAAAGACATACGTAAACCACTTTGGTCTCTCTCAGTTCTTCCTTTCTGTGTGCCCAGTTTTAAAAGCCTCCGTAATTAGATTTTTTAATTGCCCTTTTCCACGTCGCCAGTGTGAACCTGTACTAGTGCCTGCCAGCCCGGCGTGTTCTTAGAAAGATGGGCATGTTTGAGTGAAAGGGGCAGGAGTGGGCTGGGCTGACTGAAGGGAGACGGCCTGGTAAGGATGAGATGTTTTGTGAGGAAAATGTAGTCGTTAAATGCACATTTTGTAAGGGAAGGATCTACAAGAGAAGTTGGGCAGGAGGGGGAGTTACTGAAACTTTCACCACTGCCAGTTCTCT